AGAATCATTAAGAAATTTTCCTTTGTCCAGTCCAGTGTCCACAGGGAAATCATGGGCTCAGAGCTTGGAGCAGGAGAGTGAGGTGTGGCTAATGAGACCGCGTGGAGGGCGGTAAATACCCTGTCTCCCTCGGTCCCTCAGACTGTCCAACCCGGGACCGGAGAGGACATGATTCCTGTCTGTGGAGCCCGACCTCTGCCCAGGGACCAGCCCGTGGCGCCCTCCTGAGATCCTGTCTGTGACACAGCCCAGATCCATCCTCAAGCGTCCAGGAGGGACTCAGACGCTACATGGAGAAGCCCCCCTCACAGCCCCCACCCAGGTGAGTCTCAGAGCCCAGCAGGCACTTGGGACAGATCCAGGGAAAATGCAAACTGAGAAGTTCTGCCTCAGGTCACAGAGATCAAACCAGGCCCAGGGACAAGAGGTTCCCATATCAATTTATAATTAATTTGATTAATTTGTGACCCAAAACTGTCCACTGCACTCAACAATAGAAAGAGGGGCGGGGAGAGGAAGGACTAGAGTCAAAATAAGGGGGGGGGTGCAATTGTACGGGGAATATAACCAAAGAAAATGCATACATTGTGCAAAGATGAAAAATGATGTAAGAATTATAAAAAATAAAATATTTTAAAACACATACAGAGATGGTGCTGACAGTGAAGAGACAGGAAGGAAAATCTGTTAGGATGAGACTGAAGGGGGAGTGAGAGGCTTAACGTGGTTCCAGCAAAATTAGGACACAGCCAAGTAGGTTTGACATTAAGGCAGCAGGAAAATAGAGCATTAAATGCGATGGGGTCGGCACTGAAGTGAGGAGCTCATTTTTAGGAGGGGGTGTATGAGCAGGTGAGCTGTATTAGAAAGATCCAGAGCAGCTGAGGAGAGGAACAGTGTGTCGTGTTCCCTCATAGCAGGTGCTCACAGAAGTCATCCTTTTTCTTTAATGTCAGTTGGGGGAGACTAAAGAGCTTTACTCTGCAACTACTCTATTCCTGGCAAGTCTGCATAGTTTTCCTTGTTAGGTTTTTGGTTTTTTCAATTATAAATTGCACTCATTCCTACAATTTATTTACTTAGGGCCTGCATTTTTATTCTGGTTTGTGATTCATATATTCAAACAGAATTGGAGTTTTTCAAAATAAGTGTTTTGCACTTAATTCTCCCACATATACATAGGCTTTTGGGCAAAATGTTTAAAAGCTTTCCATTTTGCGGGGCTCAGTTGATCTACTGTGTCCCACTATGTATTGAAACATCGGCTGTTTCTTGCATTCTTAGTGGTAATAATATATTACACACATTGTGTTCACGTCACATCTGCTTTCCCTCATTCCTCTGCCTCCTCACTTTTGTGATTTGATTTGATGTATTTTCATTGAGATTTAATTGGCATGAAACATGTTGATTTGTGAAAGTTGGAGAAAAACATGTTGATTTCATATATTTATATATTGTAATATGATGACCCCTGGAGCACTAGCTGACACTTCCAACCATACACACAATTAATATTTATTTTTGTCACAAAATTATTAAGAAATAATCTCCCGATAACTTTGAATGTTGTAAGAAAATACTGTTGACTCTGTCACAATGTGATAGATTCCAGAACCTTATTCACCCACCAGTTTCAGGTTTGTGTCCTGAAGTAACCTCTTCCAAATTCCCCACCCTGGTCCATGGAAGCTATTTAAGTCTGTTTTAGGGCACACACAGAAGTCATGTCCAGCGTCTGTAGTTTCTCTCTTCTGTCACGTGGCACAACGTTCTTAGGTGCTCAGGTTGTCACAAAGGGCAGGGTGTCCTTCCTTCTCTTGACTGGATATTATTTGATATTTTACTATATAGAATGTGTATTATAACAACACAATATCCTGTGCGTGAATTACATATGTTTTACATAATCCATGTATATTCACTGGGGCAGTTAAGAGCAATTGTGTACATGTATTGTGAATACATATTTTATATCTGTATGTTTGCCCCTTATTTTCTTAATGTGTCCACTGATAGATTCATAGGTTATTTCTATTTTGGCTCAAAAAGCAAGGGGGTGCGGATAGCTTTTCAATGTCCTGATTTCATTGCCTTGGTACATGTATGAAGAGAGCACGTGGGAGTCTAACTTTGCTATTTTGAGGCGCCTCTGTTGTCTCACCCACCCTGGATGAAGCAATGTATTGGCCCACCGACAGCACCCGAAGGTTCTCTGCGCCCACCCCAGTGCTGATCTCCAGGGAGCTCTGTCAGCAGCTGTGAGGTGACAGCTCCTGGTTCGGATTTGCATTTCCTTGGTGAGTGATCCTGAGCACCCCATCATGTGCTTGCTGAGCATCTAGTTGTCTCCTCTGGAAAACACATATTTAGGTGCTCTCTGGTATTTGCATAGGCAATGACTTCCTTGTGACATGAAAAAGCAGGAAGCCACAGGTGGTGCTACATAAACTGAAAAGCTTCTGCATACAAGAGAGACAAAGGGACACTGGGCAGCCAATTTGTTACTAAAAACAGCCCCCACCTTCCCATCTCCTGGATCACACTCTTCTGTATTCAAATGACAAATAATATTTTCCTCAAGCATATTGGAATCCATTTTTGTTTATCTAGAGAGAAATGATAGCTTTAGATCTGCATTTTTCAGTGCTTTGGAATAAGTGTCATTTCCTGTTTTTCATTTTCAACTCTGCCATGTTACGTTTTAGAGAACCAGTGGATGTGACGAAGTTCTTGTTATATCTTCTCTTCACAAAGTCTTAGATTTGTGCTCCATTGTGCTTAATGCATTCATGCTGATCCCACTACATTTAACCAGGCTATATATTTTTTGCTGTTCCATTTATTTTATGAACTAAAATTCCTTGACATAGTTTGTATATTAATATCACAAAAGTGGGCAAACTAGCTGGTGTACCAGCTCATGTGGATGTTACGTTATGACAGAGAGGGTTGAGTACAAGGAAACCGCGCATGTGGGATATGATGGTCTCAGGAATAAACAACACGGAGGAAAGGGACAGACTGTTGGGGCACAAGCAGGATTTTATGGAATATTGTCTGGGGAGGACACTGCTTGTTGGATGAGGAGCAAAACAAGGAACAGTTTATCTGTGTCAAAGAGAGATCAAAACCTAAAGCCCAAGGAAAGCAAATGAAGTGATTCCACAAAAACGAAAAACCAGATGAGGGACAATCTCAGACGCTACTGCATCATAACAGTGTGTGGTCACATAAGTGGGAACAGGTACAAAAACAACACTCAGATCAGGATCCCACTGTCAACCCCACCACAGGCGAGTGGAGTGACAGCGTGTCCGTCGGCCTGGGGGCCCTGGTGTCCAAGGTAACTGTTCTCCACCCGGCCTGGCTCTTCAGTTGGGGCCTCACTCACAGGGTCTCTCCCTCATTAGCAAGAACTGACTTTTAAATACTTCTCTCCTGTATGCAATGATGCCAGATTCTTCTTACTGTGGCCTAAAGTCAGACCTGTCTTTACTCTGTGATGTAGCCTACCTACGCGCACAAACATACAAAAACGACACACACACATGCACATGTACACATGTACACACGTACACACAACTGATGGAAGAGAACTGTAAATCACTGTCCTGATGTGTTCAGACAATGCACTCAGACATTTTCCTACGGCCTTTACTTGTTCTATTCTACTTCATTCATGTAAACTCAGTCTCACCCCCTAATGGATGTATCTCAGGATATGAAAATTCCTCTTGGGTGTTCTCCACAACTATTTTAGCATTTCCCTGTCTTTCTTTCTCAGCTTGTCATTATTTTTTGACATGTGGGTCAGCTCCCTGGCTGGGGATCGAATTCAGGCTGTCCTGATGGTAGCACTGAGTCTGGACCTCTAGGCCACCCGGGAGGCCCTAGGACGAGGATTTTTCAGAGTCAGTCTCATTGCTTTTTCTCCATGATTCCAACAATACTTGTATAATTGGTTAAATGTATTTAAAGAAAATCATACAATATATTAAAAGAAAATTTTGACTTGGAAAAATGTTTGCATTATAGGTAAGAATGGGAAATTATTTTCAGCATCAAGAGTTGATGGGTCATGAACAGCCTTGAAAATTTCAGGTAAAAGGCACTAGGTCTATAACATCAAATTCATTAACTGAATGTATTTAAAATAAAATCACCCCATTTAAACTCTTTCTTGATGGCTCTGCTGTGGTTAAGTTGACATCACTTCTGTCCCCATCCCCCAGGCTCACCAGCGACCTGGCGCCAGGAAACCAAACCCACCCCACAGCGTTCACCCTCCTGGGGCTCTCAGAAGAGGCCTCGCTGCAGCCCCTCCTCTTCGGGGCATTCTTGGCCATGTACTTGGTCACGGTCACTGGCAATCTCCTCATCATCCTGGCCATCGTCACGGACCCCCGCCTGCACACCCCCATGTACTTCTTCCTCGCCAACCTGTCCTTTGCCGACATCTGCTTCACCTCCACCACCGTCCCCAAGATGCTGCTGAACATCCAGACGCAGAACAAAGCCATAACCTACGCGGGCTGCCTCAGCCAGGTGTTTTTCTTCTTACTCTTTGTAGGAGGGGACAACTTCCTCTTGACAGCCATGGCCTACGACCGGTTTGTGGCCATCTGCCATCCCCTGCACTACATGGTCATTATGAACCCCCAGTTCTGCGGCCTCCTGCTTCTTGCATCCTGGGTGTTAAGTCTTCTGCATTCTCTGTTACACAGCTTAATGGTTTTGAGACTGTCCTTTTGCTCACAGCTGCAAATGCCTCACTTCTTCTGTGAACTGGACCAGGTGATCCAGCTTGCCTGTTCTGACACCTTCCTCAATGAGCTGGTGATATATTTGGCAGTGGGGATTCTGGGGGCCATTCCTCTCAGCGGCATCATTTTCTCTTACTCTAAGATTGTATCCTCTGTTTTGAAAATCTCCTCAGCGAGCGGCAGGCACAAAGCCTTCTCCACCTGCGGGTCTCACCTCTCCGTGGTCTCCCTGTTCTACGGGACAGCATTTGGCGTGTACCTCAGCTCTGCTGCTACCCACGACTCCAGGGACAGTGCAACAGCCTCGGTGATGTACACAGTGGTCACCCCCATGCTGAACCCCTTCATCTACAGTCTCAGAAACAGGGACATAAAGCAGGCCCTGGTGAGGATCTTCAGCTGCAGAGCAACTCCAACGTGATGGGGGCCGCTTCCTCAGATCGTCTGGTCGGGGGCAGCAGGGCTCACAGTCCACAGATTAAGTCATGATCCTGTCCTCAGTCAGTCAGAGATAATCTGTGGTTTGTCTTAGGAGCAGAGTTTGATATCACTCTTTTATACATTATTAATATGTTTTCTGTATTTCCTTAATTATTTTTAACTGTTCTGTATAATGAGTTCCATATTAAGAGAAGCATGGTGTGCCTGAATTTTTCTTTAATAAAATGTTTCAATCAAGAAATTGGGCATTTACAAAATAATAAAAAGAAATGAAGGAAAAAATATGTACAACCGTGTCAGGTAAAAACAAACAATTACAGTATATCTGAGGGAAAATCTAGTCAAAACAAAGTATCCATTAGTGTCATCCCTGACTCTGTCATTCCTTCAGTTGGGTTCTTTGTTGCTGACCCATAATACTCCAGAACTCTTGTTTAGCTTCTATGGTCAGACATGCAGACCTTACAGTGAGAAACTCCTTTGACTTCTCTACCTGGGGAAGCTTTTATTCACATTCATATTTGAATAATTCTGCAGGGTGGAGTGTTCTTGGATTTAGGAGTGTCCTTGTGTTAGGATTATGAGCACTTCCTTCCTCTCCTGTCCTGGAGGGTGACTGCGGAAAAATCTGAGGAAAACCTAATTTAGATGCATTTGCAATTCACTCTTCTTCAGGTCTTCTATAAATTCTTCTCCTTTTTCTGACTTTTTATAATTCACAGTGGGATGTCACGGTGAAGGTCATTTTCACTTTGAAATTTGGGTGTTATCACTACATCCTGGACATTCATGCTTCTTTCATTCTTTAGGTTTGGAAAATTCTCAGCAATGATGTTTTTGAAGAGTGTCCCTCCTCCCTTCTCCTTCATCTTCTGGGTTATCGACTATCCCTATGTTTCCACTTCCAATTGAGTCTAACATTTTCTGTAGTGTTTCCTTCTTTTCCCGTGTCTGTCTTATTTCTCTCTGTTTTCCTAATTATGTGATTTATACATTTGGATCCTCAAGCTCTGAAGTTATTTTGTTTGCCATTTTAGTTCTACCTAAAACACTTTCTATATTTGTGTTCATTTGCATTCAGAGACTCTTTTGTGTTCTCTTAATCTTGTCATCTCTTGGTGAAGACTCTCTGGTTCTTTATCTTCTTTCTCAGGTCTCGCAGCTGCCTGTCTGCCCTGAGTCACCTCCATAACTCACGGTGTATTTAATATTGTTGCTTCAAGTCACTGAGACTCCTCTGCTTCTCTCCCCTGTATATGAGTCAGAATTTCTGTTCTGATGCTTTTTTTCCTTCTCGTGCTCAGATGTTCCTTGATTTCTAATTATTTATGTCACCTCATTGCCAGGTTTATAGTGGGTCAGAGTTGACTGCTTCTCTTCTAGTTTACCTTGGCGTGAGGTGGGCAGCGGAACTCTGGGACTTAAGTATTATCTTAGTTTGTTGAGAAGTGAACTCTGTCACCTCCACCTCCTCCCTCCTCCCTCCACAGAAGCTCCAATTGGTCTTCAACTGTCCTCATCTCCCTCCCCACCTCCTTCAGGTTGTTCCTGCCACTGATCAAGTCTCCTGGTGACTGGAGCTGGGTCTAGTCCACAGGGTTCCATCTCTGGACTCAGCTGGCCTGGATATAAAGGGGGCACCTGATGGCCCATGTGCCCATTGCACCGCTGTGGTCACAGGCAATGACCACCACAGCCACCAGCCCTGCTGTCCACTGAGGGACCCGGTTGCTAATGCTGCAAGTCTGCTTGATACATTGCAAAGAA